ATCAAACCCGGTTCTCCCAGATTAGAGTCTGTGCTCCTAACCACTACACCAAACTGGCTCTCTACCAGTGACAGCAGTGTCAGGTCCCTACAGTAATAATGAACCCATGAGTCGCTTAAGAGTTCCTTCTTGCCAGCTAGCTGCCAAAGCCAGTTATTCCTATCTGCACAAATGCAAACTAAACAAGGGGCTTCCTGTGGCCCACCCACACTGGAAATCTCTGCCTGGTAGTTAAGAAGAAGAAGATGATATTGGATTTATACCCTGCCCTTCACTACCCAAATAACACAGGTGTACTGAGGTATTATCAGGGATAAAGCTCCTAATTGTTTGTAGTCCATCTTCATAGAGGATGTTGGTACATAAGAGGCTCAACCGTAATAATGGCTGCTATTGTTTGGGAGATGGACGGTAGCTTCCTCAGGACATCAGTAACATCTCACAAGTAACTGAGGGTGTTGAGAAGATAGGACTAAGGATACAGTCCATATAGCTGAAGAAGAAGAGATCGGATTTATACCCCGCCCTTCACTACCCAAAGGAGTCTCAGAGCGGCTTACAAACTCCTTTCCCTCCCCCTCCCCACAACAGACACCCTGTGAGGTAGGTGGGGCTGAGAGAGCTCTAACAGAAACTGCTCTTTTTCAAAGACAGCTGTGCTAGAACTATGGCTTGCCCAAGGTCATCCAGCCAGGTGAAAGTGGAGGAGTTGGGAATCAAACCCGGTTCTCCCAGATTAGAGTCTGCGCACTTAACCACTACACCAAACTGGCTAGTATTCAAGGGCCATCATGGCTTTTAACCATGCTGCCTAGCTATGGGGGCATAGGGTTCCCAGATCCAGGTTGGGAAGCTCCTCGAGATTTGGGAATGGAGACTGGGGAGGACAGGGGTCTCAGTGGGGTACAGTGCTCTAGAGTCCACCCTCCAAAGCATCCATTTTCTGTAGTCTGGAGCAGTGTTCCCTCTATCCTGGGTTAGTGTGAGCTGGCTCACAGTTTTTTAGCCTCTGGCTCACACATTTTTGTCTTAGCTCAGGAAGGGAGGGCTCCAGAGCAAACTAATTTATGCAGCAGCCAAATTGCTCACTCACAACTTTAATGCCAGTAGCCCACAAAGTAGAATTTTTGGCTCACAAGACTCCACAGCTTAGAGGGAGCATTGGTCTGGAGATGAGCTATAATTCTAGGGGATCCCCAGGTCCCATCTAGAGACTGGCATCCCTAGACATGGTACCTATTCACAGTTTGCGTTGCAGAAGAGGGTGCTTGCAACACAACAAAAAAACAACAACAACAAACCATGTCTTCCCCCCCTCTCCTGCTACACAGACACCCAGGAAGTACTTAGGGAACAGACAGATGGGCGCTTGTTAGTGGATACCCAGGAGGAAGCAAACCACATTGACTTCGGGCAGAGCTGGTGAGTCTAGGTGGCCAGAAAGAAATGCCAGTGATTCTACAGGGCTTAGTTTCAAGCCAGTTCCCAAGCCTTGAGGCTCTTTGCATTGCCAGGCTGCAGTCACCAACCTCCAGGTAGTGGCTGGAGACCTCCTGGAGTTACAACTGACCTCCAGACAACAGAGTTCCCTTGGAGAAAAACGGCTGCCCTGGAGGGTGGTCTGTATGGCACATTCTACCCTACTGAGCTCCCTCGGGGTGTTTCCCAACCCAGAGCTAGTAACCCTGGCTCCTGGGCAGCTCCCACACTGACTTTGGCCTGTTCAAGGAAAATCCTTGGCTATTGCTCCTAACCTGGATGGTAAATGAACCTGAGCATCAGTGCTTAGTCCTCGTGGCCCTTTCTTGCACGCCCAGGGAAAGACTGATCGCCACTTTGGGGTTCAGGAAGCCATTGTTCTCCAGGCCAGTTTGACTGGGAATCCTGGAGGGTTTTTTTGTCATCTTCTGGGCATGGAAATGGGGTCACTGGGGATGTAGGCGGGGGGAGGTATTGGTGAATTTCCTGCCGTGTGCAGGGGGTTGGACTTGATGACCCTGGAGGTCCCTTCCAACTCTATGATTCCATGATTCTATGATACAGGGATGGCACTTCTGCTCATAAAACAGAATGGCTGACCCTATTATTTCGGTTAGTGACCTGGGAGGGCAGGTACACCAGTTTGGTGTAGTGGTTAAGTGCGCGGACTCTAATCTGGGAGAACCGGGTTAGATTCCCCACTCCTTTATATGCACCTGCCGGATGACCTTGGGCAAGCCGTAGTTCTGATAAGAGCTGTTCTTGAAAAAGAGCAGTTTCTGTCAGAGCTCTCTCAGCCCCTCCTACCTCACAGGGTGTCTGTTGTGGGGAGGGGAAGGGAAAGGAGTTTGTAAGCCGCTCTGAGACTCCTCTGGGTAGTGAAGGGTGGGGTATAAATCCAGTCTCCTCTTCTTCTCTTTTTGTCAGCAAGGTGAGGAGGCTGGGCCCACCTGGTGAGTTCATACGTCTTCGGTGGCGGGTAATGGTAGAGCAGATTTTTAAGTGGTGGCAGATTTTCTTCAGAGGGGTGGACAGTGCGGGCCAAAAGCAATACATCTGGAGTTTCCCGCAGGAGAATTGTGCAGGCTACTGCTACGGTCATTGGCTCGACTTGGTTGTGGACGTCGATTACCTCTCCTCGCTTGTTCACCTGCAAGGGACAGGAAAGGGTTTCAGCGCATAGGTGAAGTGAGCTTACCCCATCTGGTGGTGGGTTTGGGGCACCACAAAGGGCCACAGTGCAGGTGCCACACCCACAAAGCACAATGCATGGAGAAATTCTCTGATTCAAGTATTGTCGACCTGAATTTGGTGGTTCTTGGGGTTCATTCATGAGAGCTGTGTCAAGACGGCAGTCTAGTGCCTAGTCGTTCTTCCTGTTAATTTTATGTCTGTTGAAACTCTTTTATGCTTGCTGGAATCAGGATTTCACCTCAGCTTACTTCTGCAAGTTTCTTATAGAAGGGGAATGGAATAGGTTTGAAATTTTGTAGATTGCTAGCATAATAATGTATGAATGGTGGAAAGTGCCATCAAGTCTCAACTGACCTATGGCAGCCCCCGCGGGGTTTTCAAGACAAGAGACATTCAGAGGTGGTTTGCGGTTGCCTGCCTCTGCGTCACAACCCTGGCATTCCTTGGAGGTCTCCCTTCCAAATACTAGCTGGAGTCAACCCTGCTTAGCTTCCAAGATCTGATGAGACTGGACTAGCCTGGGCTATGCAATTCAGGGCAATGTATAGATAGCATTTCAAATTTAATGAAGAATGTCAAATTTGATTCCCCCCCCCCAATATGTTTCATTATAAAAGGTTTGTTTAGATTCTCAATTACTTAATATTGGAAGTTATTTTCTTTGTGTGGGATTAAATGAGATAGTTTTTTTTAAAAAGGGTCTGTCCAGATGTTGGGTATATGTGGGAAATGTCTTGGCCTGGACCCAGCCTTTTGACAGGCAGTTGATCCAATGGAGTAATTTTTAATTCATTACTTGCCTGCCTCTTGATGAATTGGTTGACTTAATGTATCCAAATCTTCCTGTGAGCAGATCGTCTGTGTAATCCACCTTGAGTCCAAGTGGGAAAGGTGGACGATAAATGACATAACTAAATAATTGATATTTGGACCTGGAAGATATGTCTTACAATTCAGTACACAAAAGCTGTCTCTCATGTGGCTCTTCCACATTCCCATTTTTCTAGCTTGTAAATTCCTGTTAATTGTGTGTATGTGGGGTGGTCAATTTGATACTACATTGGTTTATGTCTGACATAAAACCCTACAATTTAAATCTTCAGGGAGATATGCCGGACATAAACTGATATTTACTTATTTATTTCATTAGGTTTCTATACTGCCCTCTCTGTAAGCAGGCTCAGGGTGGTTCACAGCAAATTCATATAAAATACATATAAATACATTAAATAGTCTAAAATCGAAATCCACAGAAAACTAACAGCTTTACAGTGCCATAATACAAATTTCTGAACCTCCCCCTTTACATCAGCATGGGGGGAAAGGGGATGAAAAGCAGTTAAAAGCCGGGTAGTTGTTAAAAACTGCCAAGAAACTGTTAAAAAAACGTTGCTGTCCTCAACCTTATGTTTGAAGGAACATCTCTGCCTTGCAGGCCCTGCGGAAGTCCCACAGGCAGGCCTGTAGCTATGGTGTGGCTTTTAAGGGCTCTGCCCTCTTTCTCAAAGGCACAGCCCTACAAGAATTTCTCCTGTACATGCTTTTTTCAATCATTTTAAAACGTTTTTTTAAAGGTGTGTGCTCCTTTAAGCAGAGTGGGGTGCTGGAGTTGACTAATTCCCACACTGAGCAAGGGGGCTGAAGTAGGTGACCTCTAGGATCCCTTCCAAGTCTGTGTCAAGAAACTGGTCTCCTTTAAGAGAGTTTTTCTGCCAAAATGTTAGCTTTCTTGCCTATAGAAGTCATCACCCCCACCTGCCAGCTTGTTATCAGAATTGTTGCCTAGAAGAAGAAGAGGAGGAGATTGGATTTATACCCCACCCTTCACTCAGAGTGGCTTACGATCTCCTTTCCCTTCCCCCCCCCACAACATAATGTTTTTAGTTGTAGATACGACAAGGAATTTACCATTGCTAATGGATAAAATCAAAGAATTTGGAGACTTGGCTGGTTTTTATGTGAATAAGAGTAAGTCAAAGGTGATGTGTAAAAATTTGACGCAAAAGAAGCAACTTGAATTAAAATAAAAAATACAATGTGAAGTGGTGAAAAAAGTTAAATATTTAGGTATTGAATTGACAATGAAAAACATAGACCTCTTTAAGAATAATTATGAAAAATTATGGAGTAAAATACAGCAAGACATGAAAAAATGGGATACGTTAAATTTGTCACTATTGGGAAGAATATCGGTGATTAAAATGAATATTTTACCTAGATTGATGTTTTTATTTCAAACCATTCCGATAGTAAAAGACCCTAAAGTACTGAACTTATGGCAGAGAGAGATTTCGACGTTTCTGTGGGGTGGAAAGAAACCAAGGATTAAAATGAAGATTCTATGTGATGCAAAGGAGAGAGGTGGTTTTCAGTTACCTAATTTTAGACTTTACCATGATGCGGTGTGCCTAACTTGGTTGGAAAAATGGATAAACTTGGACAACAAGAAAGTGCTGGCGTTAGAAGGACATGATTGTAGATTTGGTTGGCATGCCTATCTATGATATGAGAAAAGTAAAATGGACAATTTATTCAAGCATCATTTTATAAGAAGATCATTGTTTGAGACATGGATGAGATACAAAAACGTTTTCTTTGAAGCACGGCCACTCTGGATAGTACCGGCAGAAGTAATTAGAGCACACTCGAGACATAAGGGAGAAGATTGGATACCATACAGAGACATTTTAAAAATAGAAGGAAAAAGTATTGAGATTATGGGGAGGGAAGAAATAAATTTTGAATATGATTGGTTAAATTATAGACAGATTTATGATTTGTATAAAACAGACAAAAAAGAATTTGGTTTTAGAGAGAAAAATAATGAAATAGAATTTATATGGATAGAAAAAGGGAAAAAATGATATCTAAAATTTATAAGGTTTTGCTGAAATGGTATACAGAAGATGAAATGGTAAAAGAGCAAATGATTAAATTGGCAGTAAATATGAATAAAGAAATATCTATGGCATCTTGGGAATGTTTATGGAAAAACTCAATGAAAAATTCGACTTGTAATAATGTAAAAGAAAATTGTTATAAAATGATATATAGATGGTATATGACACCTAAAAAGATTGCTAATATGAATGAAAATATGTCTAACAAATGTTGGAAATGTAAGAAAAAAGAGGGCTCATTTTACCATATGTGGTGGACTTGTGATAAAGCAGTGACTTTTTGGACAGAAGTCCACACTGAAATGCAAAAAATTTTGAACTGTACCTTTAAAAAGGAACCAGAAGTATTACTTTTGGGATTAAATATGGAAGAAGTAAATGTGACAAAAAGAACACTGTTACGGTATCTGACTACAACGGCGAGAATGACATATGCACAAATATTGGAAACAAGACAAAATACCGGAAATATGGGAATGGATAAAGAAAATGAACAAACTGACAAAAAAACTTAATAATAAAGAAGACGAAGAGTTTTTTGAAGAATGGAAGGATTTCAAAGAGTATATAGAAAAACATTGGGATGTAAAGAATAATTTACTTTGCTTTGATAGTTATTAAGAACAGAAAACAGAAAATGAATGAACTGAAATAGATAACTAAAAGGTTACCTAAGAATTAGAATATAAGTATATATTTAACAGAAATTAATGGATTAAGTAATAAGTGGAATAAAATGGAAACTAAGAATTAATGTTAAAGAAGGGGTGGGAACATTGCGGGAAGCTCGGGAATGGGAGGGAGAAAATGAAAAGGGGATTTGATTAATGTGAAGTTATAATTTTGGACATGTTGCAATATCCTGAAAATAAAATGTTTAAAAAAAGAAAAGAACTGCACTTTCAAGGACAGCTCTGACAGAACTATGGTTTGCCCAAGGTCATCCAGCAGCTGCAAGTGGAGGAATGGGGAATCAAACCCGGTTCTCCCAGATCCGCACACTTGACCACTACACCAAACTGGCAGAAGTGATTAACTTGCAGCAGATGCGAACTGTCATCTAAAGTGGTTGACAGCTTGCAATTTAAAGATCTATTCTAGTAACAGCTTTCTATTGGCTAAATGGCTTTTCTTTCTGCACTGAGAGCCCCACCAGGAGAAAAAACTGACCCACAAGCCACAAAATCCTGGCTACGGGCCTGCCTGCAGGGCTCTGATGTTGGTAGGCAGAGCGTTCCACCAAGTCGGAGCCAGGGCTGAGAAGGCCCTGGCTCCGGTTGAGAAAAGCCAAATGGTCTTTGGGCCAGGGACTAATATTAAATAGACCACTAGAGGGAGCAAAACACATATGGAACAGCCCCCCCCCCCAGAAACAGGAACTTAAAAGCAAGGAAAATGAGAGTGAAGAAAGGTGTCAGCTAGCTGCCATTGTCATTCCGGTTCCTTAGTATCCTTCTTCCCATTGTTCCTTGTTTTCTTGAGTTATGTTTTGTAGTCCGCGGAACTCGCCAAGGTTGTGCAGCTGGTAGTAGGAGGGAAGCTTCGCCTAGGATGTTTTGGGTAGTCTTTTGGGTATCTAGCCTGTGAACTGAACCTGTGTTGATATTGTAGAACTGTTAAGTTCCCATGCAATGGGCGCGAATTATATGTTCTATTCCCGTCAGCGGGAAATGGGCTCATTGGTCCTGACCTGGTTCAAATGTCTATATTATGCCTTCGCTGATGCCGCCTATCCCAGGACAAGCACCGCCAGGTCTGCCAGCCCCACTGATTCCAGCACAGCCGGGACCTCCAATAGCACCAGCTCTTCCCCGCCTGGGAGGGTTTGGGCCGCCAGGAATCCCGCTTGCAGGACCGAGGGCGAGACCCAAGGACTTACTGGAAGCCACGTTCGATGGGAACCCGGAAGAACTGGCATTCTTTACAGTAAGGGTTCAAAGGTTTGTGACCCAACATGGACATTTATTCCCAGATGATAGCGGAAGGATTGATGTGATCGCTTCACGACTGAAGGGAGCAGCCGCCACATGGTACGTAGGACTTCACTCTGACAGGG